CCACAGTTTCTTCCATCGTTGAAGTTCCTTGACGTCAGCCATTCCCATTCCCTCACTGAAATCATGGACTTCTCACTTTGCCCTAATCTAGAAGAATTGATTCTTGTAGATTGCACAAGCCTGATTGATGTTCATGAATCCATTGGAAACCTGGAGAGACTTGTGTACTTAAACTTGAAGGATTGCAAGAATCTTATGATGCTTCCGAAGAACATGTGCATGCTTAAATCACTTGAAAAACTCATTTTATCTGGTTGCTCAAATCTTGAAGAGTTTCCAGTGGAGATGATGAAGAAGATGGTGTCTCTGAAATGTCTTGAAATAGATGGAATTCCAATAAGTGAATTGTGGCCAGAAAGAAGTTCAACTATCTTGAGTTCTTTTCCATGCTCTTTAGTAGAGTTAAGTCTCATGGGGTGCAATCTTTCTGATGATGCCTTTCCTACGGATTTAAGTACTCTATCCTCAATACAAAGACTATATCTAGATGAGAATCCAATTTGTAGTCTGCCAGGTTTCATCAAAGGTTTGAAAAGGCTCGATGAACTCTCTTTCGCAGATTGTGAGAAGCTCGAATCGCTTGTGGGGTTGCCAAAAGTACGCCAAATGATTACTATATGCCAATGCAAATCATTAAAAAAAAAGACATATCTTTCCCGTGAGCAGCAGTGTGCATACACGGTGGGTAACAATTGGAATCTAGTTGAGTGGGAGTACGAATACAAGTTAGAGCCTATTGATAGAGTTGATGCGGAAATGATCAAACTTTTGGGTTTGTCCAACTTGGAATCCATGCCAGCTGTTCGAATGCATCATCCAGACGCAACCAGGAATCATCCAGAAGAGGTCCCAGTCCAGGTGCACCTCTCTTTTTCTCTCTCATAAGTCTTAAATATATAAAATGGGAAAGAAATGACTGAGTAATGTTGTGATGACTGTGGCAAATACATAGGGACTGTATCAATATGGTATATTCAGCACATTTTTTGCTGGGAATGAGGTTCCGGGCCGGTTCAGCTATAAAAGTACCAAGTCCTCGATATCTTTTATTGTCCCTTCACTGCATGCCAGTCACAGAATTCGAGGCTTGAACATCTTTGCTACCTATGCAAAGGATGAGAATTATAATATTGGTGGTTGTTATCCTTTAGCGACTAAAGTGAGTAACAAGAGTAAGGGTCAGACGTGGATCTATCAACCACAAATCTATGGAATTCCTGGTGACGGAGAAGATATGAAATGGATGAGCCATTGGAGGATGGAGACTGAAACAATATTGCAATGTGGAGATGAAGTGGTGGTTTTGGTAATAGCCAGATTTCCTGGCCGGTTTCGGATAAAGGAGTTTGGTGTCGAGCTTGTGCAAGAGCACCAGAATAATATGATGACAAGTACCCAACACAACACCAAATCAGATCCTCATTATCCATATATCATCGGGGGAGATTTGTCCATGTGGGAGCATCTACCAGGAATATACTTCCTTGGTTACTGGAATTCCGACGTTCAACACCTTCCTGTCGATGAGCAGGGATGGTTCAATTGCATCATGATGGACTCTCATGAAGAAGACACAGGTATGTCGTATTGTTGTATTGCAATGAATTATAGTCCATCCAAACACTTCCACGTCCGTCTGTATTCATTTCAAAAACAAAATTTTTATGTTATTTGTATGTTTTTCAGACAAAGAAGAAGGGCAAGAGGATGAACCTGATTTCACAATTACAAGGATGAGGGCTGCCAGTAACAACTGCAACCTCGGACGTTGGAAGGTGCTTCTCACAGCTGCTGGCTTCTTTTTCACGCTTGTTCTAGTAGTTTGGTCCTGCATCTCCTAGAAAAAGAAGCGATAGTAGTCCACAAGCCCTCCATCAGTTTGCAATTTTACTTGATACAAACATATTTTGCATTCCTTCCTTGTCTTCAAGATATTTTATGCCTTCAAAACTTCGGGTTCACAGCTAAGCGCTCTTAACCGCTTGAGATATAAAACCCCCTAGCAATTAGATATTGAAGTTCAAATGTGTTCAAATCATCAAATATTGCATAGCTCAAATGTGTTCAACATCATCAAATACTGAAATACATCCAGCATCAGCAATGCTATTTCGGCACCGTGGAAAGCAAAAACATCCTATCTGCTTATAAATGTCAAATATACAGATCTTAATCGTCATTTACAACAAAATCATGCTTCTTAAAGACTCGACTCCCATTGAAAAATTGTGTAAATAAGTATAACAGATATTAGATTGAATAATATATCAAATAAATAAATAGCAGACAATTTCTTAGCTTGAGATCTAAGGACTATACAGTTGGCTCAGCCTTGCATCGCTACCACACAACGGAGCTGGTTTCCGCTTCTTCAACCTCGAATAATTAGGGTCAGGAAGCATTAGGAGGAACGGCTGTCTCTGAGGCGATTAATCAAATAGTGCAAATCTAGAATAAAAAAGCAATAGAAGTTCAGGATTGATGAGGTTCAAAGCCCACTAAAAGCTGCTGATACAATGCAGTGTCATTGACATCAATAGATTAAAGCTAATGGCGCATGAAGAGTACTGAAACACTCACAGCCGTCGCTCACTGGTTGCATGAGCAATAAAAGGAACAAATTCATCAAGTCACATCGGGGCCATCCAAAAAGAAAATTGAAGCAAACACCACAAACAACCCAAAATTTGCTCAAACGTCAGCATCCATCCCAAACAACGAATTTGTACCTCATTTGGGAGTTAATATAGCACATGAGAAAATTGTAAATTCCATGGGACATTTAATTCCAATGAATTTATAAATGGGTCCTCATATTAGTATAGAATTACAGTTAAACCACAATTATATGCAATCAGTACCTTCCCTTTGCAGTGTTCTCCCCCACAGGAACCTGCACATCGATAACTCGTGTTTAAATTACTAAAAAACCAATCTTGTTATGATGTTAAAAATATGAAGCACAAATGTATCTGAGCATGCACGTGAGACCTTGGGAACTGTGAAATTTTCATTTTTTCAATTTAGATATAAGAGTTAATGTATTACAGTGCCAAATACAGCAACTGCTAATTTCCACATGACCACATCTGCATCTGCCCAACCATTCTGCTTGGGTCTTTTAAATAAGAAGCAACTTGTTCACTAATATTCTGCAATTGGAAAAAGAAAAATGAATTCCTAGTGATATCTGGCAAAGCATGGCACAAGTCAGCCATAGGTAAAGGCATGTTTACAAGTTCAATTATAGAGCCAGACCTGATTAAGAGCATGCGGCTCGCTTGAATAGCAGCAGCGCCATTTGTCTATCAATTTGTTTATGAAAGTAGATATTCTACAAGATACAACGTGACAGGCCTTAGTTAGACCAAGTAACCCGCATGGAAATGCACACACTAATGAAAAGTTGAACATAGCAGAATAAATTCCTAAAATTCATGCAAGAGAAGTTATCGGAGCATGAAAGAATTTATACAGAACTGCCCAAGAGTATACTTAAAGTAAACATATGGCAACACAGATTTTTACAAGTATAATTTACAACTGAATTTCATGGTTCTCTGCCGCCCCTCTAGATAACAAACTAATTTAATTTAGTACCTAATGGAATTTAAAGGTCAGAAAACTATCATCTGGTATATTTCATATTGAACAGTTGAGACAAACTTAATAACATAATAGCCTGATGTATTAACTGATAAGAACTATGTATTGAAATATAACAAAAGTTAGACACTAAGGTGTTGAAATACAGCAATAAAACAAGAATTTTAAACAATAAAACAACAAAAATTCCAAAGTTCTTTTGGCTGCTCCAAATGGATTAGCAAAGTATGGCATGAACAATAATGTTAAACAATATTTCAGTTTTATAGATAGGCCTCAATATAACATGAGCATATCTAGATAGTAGAATATGATTCTTCTTTTCAGAATATCCAAATTATGATCTGAGTACCTTGACAGCAACTAAGAAATCCGTGACCAATCCTCATCACCGTATCATCACTATCAGTGGTCTTAGATGACTGTGACTTCTTAGGTTCTCCAGATTTACCTACAGAATAGGATATGTATTAGGAGAAGCAATACATGAACATACGCAGTATGAAGTTAATGAATATGCAAACAGTACAAACTAGGACAGCCAATTAGACCATGGTAGCCCAAAAGCCAATTTTTTTTGCTTAATCCGGCTAAGGCTTATATGAGATCAAAGCAGGAAAGATTTGTGCTGACATCCTTGGGAAAATTTGAAATCTGGCTTCATCTTGACTATCCTCAGATCAGAAAACAATACCTAACTGATTTACCTTCTATGCCAACATTATGCTTTTGACAACAACAACAACTACCTACCCTCTAGAGTGGTTATTTAATTGATGTTTCCTTGAAAGCTGTAATCAAAATCACAAAGTGTCTAATTTTTGTTGATCTACTCTGAACTTCCCACCTAATACGCGTAAGCCATCACATATTTGGTTTGGCTTGTTCTCAATCAGAACTAAGCACAAACTTCACTACAATTCAGCAGACCAGCTGGTCCAAGCTTAAGCTTTATGCTTTGTGTTTTGGGATAAGCTTGGGCAAGGCTGAGCTCAATCCATTCCTCTTGATTAAAACTCGTACACTCTTGATAATAGCATAGTACCATCATAATCTGACTAATTATAGTAACTGTTGTAGTGGAACTTCTGAAATTTGAGGAACCCTCACAATCATATGAATAGAGGAAACTTGAAGCATTTCCTTAAAGTTTGATTTGATAAAATCAAACTCTGTCTTAGCTAATTGTATAGTTACAAGCTAAACGCACTTTACGAGAATTTAAACGGATATTAAAAACTTCAAACACAAAATGTAATACACCAAGCATAGCAAACCTTTCACATATTGGCAATTCTTGTCATGCTGAAAATGATAGATTATGCCCAACAACGGAGAGCCAAATTATATTACAAAATAAATATAATAGTTTGATAAATGTAGTTTGTACATACTATATGTTGCTTGAAAGATGGAAGAAGGGTTCTTCCCAACGAAAGCCTGTAACAAGAAATATAGCATGATGTGATAAATGTTATAGCATATACAAATGGCAATATCAACAAATCACAATAATGTATAAAGTACTTTTCATATTACCGCAAGGTATGAAGATAAACTACAGACCAAGTAGTAATAGGTAGGCAACAAATTTTTATGACAGTCATACCTCTTGTAGTTCTGCTCAAGAATCCAAAGTTCTCTTTGATGAGTCGACTAGATCAGGATATGCTGCATTGACGCCTTCATGTGAATCACAAAATAAAGACCTAACTGGCTCCTGCAGACAACCTCTCAGGTAAGAACATAACATCTTAACATGTCAAAAAGCTACAAAAAAAGGAAAAAGCTAAAGCGACCTGTGGTAATCTATTTCATGGATATTACAAGAGCTATTATTTTGAACAACACACACCTTTTGGTTCTTTACTGCTTGACCTTTAAGATCTTCGTCCTTATGACGCTTTAGATTCTTTAAAATATCTCTGCATGGGAAGAGGGAATAAACGAAGAACAAATTAACTTCATGTCAGCCTATATCCATGTAAGATGTATGTTCCTTCCTTTTATCTCGGACTGAAGAATTGCACATGTATATATAACTCCACTTTGTGTTTTCATAATAACTAAATTAAATAGATACTGAAACTTAGCGTCGAGCTAAGATGAAAATGGCACTAGTATTCAATTTCTATAGCTACACTGGCGGACTATTATATTATTCAATGACTTCTGTAACCTAATATCAAATTTGGCCACCAACCTCCAACTGCTATGCATATTATCTCTTATATTCACATTATTTAGCTCTATGTCTTCATTCTAATTAAGCATCACAAGTTCATAATTAAGCATAAAAGAATTGTGAACAGAAGTCTCTTACTGCTCCTGATGACGAAGATTGATGTATTTTTTCTCGAGTTCTTCCATCTCGGCATCTTTATTATCGTTTTGCCCATCACCATTTTCCTCTTCCCCCACTTCTCCTCCATCTTCTTCCTCCTCGCCTGCTCATCATCAAAGTCATCCTCTTCCTGCTTCATCCACAAACCATCAAATAACAACAAAATCACCAAAACAAAACCGAATGATTACCAAAACCCAATAACAGAATTTACAAATAAAAAACACTCAGCTCATCGTTGTCGAAATCGCCATCGTCCTTGAACTCATTGTCACTGTCACGAGCCTTTCTATCCATTGTGACGTCTGATCAAACACCCAAATATTTATACAATTTAATTCCACAAGGATTTAAAAGTTGATGGTACATACAATCTCATTCCAATATCCAAACCAATTTATGAATCCCAGATTCTAATTTTGAAGCTGAAAGGAGAAGAAAGACTGCAAGAGTTGAGAGAAGCACAAACGAGCCTCAGAAGAAGATGCAGGGTTTGGGTTTGGGTCTTGGGGTTTAAGCATTCATATGCAGTTTACCGAGCTGGATGACCCGTTTCGAAAACCCCAACCCGTCTCCTAAACCAAGTCCCAAAATCTATCGATTAATTTCCCCTTCGTAGAGCAAAAACATTTGGGCCTTAAATGGGCTTTATGGGCCAGTAAGGCCTATATGAGATTGAGCCAGACCCATCTCATTTGATTAGCATTTCGTTGCACAATCAATGCGAGCGACTTATTTATTATTACAATCTAGTGATTTTTCTCTTCATTTGTAAATAATAATTTTTAGGTTCGACTCATGTAAATGGCTAATTCAACACTAAATTATGACGTCATAGGCACTGGAGGTTACTTATCACAAGTCATAGGCGTAGAAATGAAATATAATGGTTGCCTGGAAATTCATTCCCATTCGACCAATGTGTGTGTGATATATATATATATATATATATATATAGATTGATTTATTCATATGAGTATGATGCATCTCATTAACTGGGCATATTTTTCTGCGATTAAAGTTTTCGTATCTTCTTGTTGAGTATTGGTAAGGATTGCAACCCTTAAGTCTATACGTAAGAATGACTTAACTACTTTGGCAATGCGCATAATGTAGTTGGGCAGAATCAATAACTGCTTATGGGTTTATGAGTTTGGTTCTGCAGAGTAGCGCAAAAAATGAGTTGCATTTTAAATTGAGGAAGTAAATCTCTGTTAGCGGTTGTGTAGCCTCTTTCTTTGCAAAAGAGAAGGTTTTTCTTATGTTAGTATGCATATGGCACAAAACTTGTGGTTGTGTACTGTAGATATATATGTGAGAGCTTCAAAGCCATAGTGATACGGAAACATGAATATTTGAGTTTTTGTCTCCCAATTAGCTACAAGATCATAATGCAATCTTTGATGTTGTGGCTGGGCATCTAAGGATATAGGCTATATGATTTGCAAACTCATTGATTGAATTAGCACATTTATAGAATGATGAGCACTTCCTGATAAAGGAGTAACACGTGAAGGCACTACAAAAATGAGTTTTGCTCATAGGCCATGTTAGTCATGGATAAAACCAAAGCCAATTCCTTTGCGAAGTATACACTGAAAGTGTGGGGGTCTTCGTAAAAGGAATGATGAGGCATTGAAATTGATGCTTATTGAGTAAGCATACACAATTAAATTAAACATGATGATGCTTATTAAGCAAGAATATGGATGGACATGTTATGAATTCAATGATGCTGGCTAATTTGAATTTTGATAACTTAAAGTCAAAGTACATATAGGTGGATATACAAAGGCATAATCTATAATGGAATTGAATACAGCCTTAAGGCTAGAGAAATGTACTTTGTGATAATTTAGCCGAGTAAGGGCTAAACACAATGTCCAAATTGTAAAGAGTAATTTGTTTATTAAAAGAGAGAGAATAAAAAGCAGTTATCTCTTATAATGATTAACTTTAAGGTATGAAGAGTTAGAGACCTTCCTACAAATACCTTAAATGTGGGGGAAGTCTACTTCCTAGTGTTAGCAAATTACTTCCAAAAGTCCCAACATATATATAATTTTGAGGACTTGAAATTGAGAAACAACTACTCTCGTATGAAATATAATTTCATAAGATGAATTGTATACACCATTAAAGATAGTCAACCAAAATGGTACCAATTATTATAGGTTTGACTAGAGAGTAAGTTGATCATCGAGGGGAATGAGGCTAAAGCCAACATAACTAATGAATTAGTCGGGCGGAAGCCTAACTTAGTTGATTGGAGATCCCAAGGTCTAAGTTCAATAGGCAAACTGGTTGGGCATGATTCAAAGAAGTTAACACACTATATACCTCATTTCTATGATGGAAGAAGTATGTTGTCTGCAGAAGTTTTAGGATGTATATTTATACTTAATGACAGTGATATCTTATAAATAAGAGGAATAGAGCAGACTATTCTTAATCAATGGTCACCTATGTGAGAGTAGAAGTGGGTCGCTTCTATGAGTATGAGATGGCTAAATTCTCTAAAGCTCTCATGAATCCGGGATTTGTTCAGTACCAAAATGAACACAATCGTATGAACCATAATATATTAGGATTAGTGATGTGTGTTGCTTATTTTCTCGGTTTACTACTGCGGTGAACAGTTCAAGATTCTATATTCATTGCGTCACCAAGTAAATCCGATAAGTATTCACTAGGGTAGATTCAAGTCCAAAAAACACCTCTCCCGATGCATCTCTTGTCCGCCTGTACTCTCAAATTCTTCCAAATTTTTCATTCATGTGGGGGATTGTTGGAAATTATATATTATAATATGAAATATTGTCATATATAATTTTAATAATTGAATGAAAAATATTGTCAACCAATTTCTTAGAAAGGTTATGTTGTTTAGGTGTATTCCCTTGATAAGTGATGTATACTTATAGATGAAAAGTTACATCTCTTTAATAAGTAGAAATTGGATTCTATATAAACCCATGAAACCATTGGTATTAGACATAGAAAAATAGAGTTAATTTTTACTCTTGAGAAATAGGGTTTCCCCACTTTGTTTCTCTCATACTTCGTGAGTCAAATTCCAAGTCGTGTCTTGAGAGTACGAAATATATAAAGTTCGCCAGAGTCTGAAAATTGAAGTGCTTTGACTTCATATTATAGATTGTTGAATCCTGGGAGATGGACGCCTACCGAACTACAAGCATAAGAGTAGAGGCAAAATTCTATCTTTAGGACATTGCATTTATGCAAGCTTCAATCTCCAAATTTGTTAGTTATTCTAACTTTCTCTCTAGTTGTTTATATTAATCTCATATATAATTGATGTTGTGAATATCTTTATGATTATTATCATTGGAATTATATTGTTATTTTTCATATTTTCTAGTATTGCTCCAACAAATGGGCGTTGAATTCACACACTGGACTTCACAATGTAAGTAGGAGACCTAAAGAGATTCAGTACAAGTGTGAGCAAGAGCACGATACTCATACTCCACACTAGAACGTCGTATAATTGGCTGCTATTTAGAGCTCTAAGAGATGAGATTGGGGCCAAGAAAAAGAAGATACCTAGAGGTGGATCGACAAGTGTATGGATGACTAACCCAATCTGCATCAGAGTAGCCAAGTAGAAACAAGTGGACCACAGTGAGGCCGAAACTAAGACCAAGTCTAACAAACCCTTTTAACATAAAGAAGAACACGTTCGACAGCAACCAAATGAGTCATAGTGGGACGAGCCATAAACTGAGCAATATGATTGACCGCAAAGGCAATACTAGGATGAGTTAAAGTGAGGTATGTAAGCGACCTGAGAAGGTGACGAAACTCAGTAGGATCAAAAGGAGGAGTACCAACCTGATTAGAAATCTGTGACAGTGTAAAATGGCGTTTCATGAATTTACGTTGCAGGGCATATTATCTTAATGATTTGATTATGATCAAATTGATTGCAATATATTTATGTTGAATCATACATTCTATTTATTGAAATAATAATTGTCATTATCATTATAGTTTGCTATCTGCCGTTGCATATGGTGGTTTATCACAAGCATCGCCTTGCAGAGCATCATAACCTGGGATAGAAGCACTTAGGTTTTCTCTACTTTCTTCCAGTAATTAGGTATACAAGTAGTTTTATATCTTGAGTTAAATTTGAAGCCATTGTCAACCTTTCTGTATAAAATTGCAGAGTTTGCTTTATCAATTATCAATTTCAACATTTTTCCTTTCAATTTTGGGTCAAATGTTTGTTGGTAGTAAGATTATAATTCCTCAGCTTAAGATATATCTTTTGGCAGAGAATTTAACAGAAGTTCAATTTCAAGCTGTACTTTTTCTTGGGACAGATTGTTGCACTGCCTCTCATCCCAACATTAGCAGCATCTGTGATACATTCAGTCAAATAGGAAAACATCACCTAAAAAAGCAGAAACCAACTAGAACATTCTCCGTGGCTCCAAATGACAGGTTACAGTTACTTAATTTTAATTATGTGGGTTCTTAGTTGGTTAATCATTTGACTGAGAATGCTGTACTCTACTACATCAATGTAACATCTCTTATCCCCGTGGCTAGAAACCAACCAGAACATTCTCCGTGGCTAATTGTCTTTCTAAGATTTAGTTTAATAGTTTGATCTATTTATCCCCTTTCACCTATCTACAGAATATCCAATGAAATTTATTTGAAGCTGCAACATCTCTTATCACATAACACCATGGCGTCATCTCCACGCTTGCAGCAAAGACGGTACCAGAAAAATCAAAGCAGGTCCCATAAGAAAAAACTGTGAAAAAAGACTACAAGTGATGCATTTTCCACTGGAAATGAGCATCAACAAAGTAATGCAGGATAGAGACATGGAGGTATGGGAATATGGTTTGAACTTTCTATTGTTTAAATTTTGGTAAGAAAAGCAAATTTAAACAGATCCACATGGCAACGGAACGCAAAGTAAGGGGGTTTAACATTTGATGTTATGTTGACTGAGCTTCTGGATTCAATCTAATTGGATATAATTATTTTTTTCCTTGCTTTTTGTCAATGTAAGTATAGTTGAATTACTGCAAACTATAATGCAATTTACACTTCAACTTATATTCTCATTTTAAATACTCTGTTTGCAGCTATGGAAACAAGTATTATTGTTGTGGCGGTATTGACTTGACAAAGTAGTTTGCAGGTGGAATGGGAATTGCAAAATAAATGTCAAGAAAATAGTAGATATTATACCATAAAACCATAAACCCTATATACTCATCTTTAGCAACTTTTAATAAGATAAACTAGTAATATAATAGAAGCGAGTTGTATTTTTTTGTAGTACTGTAAGGAAAAGATGATATATATGAATTCTTACTCTTCAACTCAATGTCATTGTTTATTTTGTTATCTTACACTATTATTTGGTTCATTGATGTATTTCTTCATTTATTCTTTACTAACCTCTTCGAATGACGTTTTCAAGCGTGCAAGGACCCTTTCTTTTAGGGATGTGTTATCCACACACTCTA